TTTATATTAAGTATTTTTTATTGTATTTATTTTTACTGACATATATAGTTGACACACAATGTTACATTAGTTTCAGTTGTACAACATAGTGATTCAACAACTGTATATATTATGCTATATTCATTACAAGTGTAAATACCACCTGTCACCATACAACACTGTTACAATACCATTGACTGTATTCTTTATGCTGCATCTTTCATCCCTGTGACTTATTCATTCCATAACTGGACGCCTGAACTTCCCACTCCCCTTAATCCTTCCTTGCCCATCTCCCCACCAATTCTCCTTCGGCTATCTCCAGTTCTCTGTATTTATAGGGCCATTTCTGCTTTTTTTGCTTTATTCATTTTGTTTTTTAGATTCCATACATGGGTGAAATGATATGGTACTTGTCTGACTACTTCACTTAGCATAATGCCCTCTAGGTTCATCCATGTTGTTGCAAATGGCAAAATCTCATTCTTTTTGTTAGCTGAGTAATACCCTGTTGTGTATATATACCACCTCTTCTTTATCCATTTGCCTATCAGTAGACACTTAGGTTGCTTCCATATCTTGGCTATTATGAATAATGTTGCAATGAACATGGGAGTGTAGGTATATCTTCAGTACCCTTTTTTTCACTTGGGGATGGGGGTAAATACCCAGTGCTAGAATTATTGAATCATGTGGTATTTCTATTATTTTAAATTTTTGAGGAGTCTCCATACTGATTTCCATAGTGGCTGAGCTAATTTGTATTCCCACGTAGAGTGCTTTACCCTGTTGATGAGATTGAGATCCTCACCCTAGGACCATGGGATGCCAAACACACAACACCTTACATTAGGCAGACGAGATTGGTAGATGTTTATTAACTATATGTACTCACAGCCCAGGGGTGAAGGGGACACCATACAGGGCTACCTAGCGGTTACACTTGGGAACCTAACAAATAACCAGAGGGCTGTGTAACAGGATATAGGATGAGGCACCCCTGGTAACCTTAGGAGGATGTGATTGGCTTATTTGAATCATTCTACAGACTGGCAAGAAAGTGGAACCTGCTACGCAGGAATAAGGAAGAACGATATCTGATCTATTTGATAAAGAGGGATGTTTGGCTGGAAGACCTTATGTATGGGAGCAGAGTGGGAGGGAAAGACTTTGGGAAGGTTATTTGAGTCCTTCCAATTTCCACCAGATATTAAAGCAGCACATAATATTGGGCCTAATTTTAGGACTTACACTACAGTATCTTAAAGAATTTTATCTACATGGAGGGGAGACTAGAACAAGAATAAGGTTATAACTGGTAAAGAAGCAGCAGCTACTCATTTTAACAGAGAGGTGGGCATATTTAGCATTTTGGCACATGACGTTGCTTTTCTTTGTCATTGCTTAGGCAAAATTTTGCCTGTCTCATTTTATTATGCTCTCAGGATGACCTTGTCAAGTCTGGTATAGTGTGTGATAGGAGAATAACATAGCCCAGCTCTGAAAGCGAGGCCAGATTCTGATTGTAGAGCTGCTAATTTTTTTTTTCTTTTTCATTTGGGAAGGAAGGTAGTAGGGATTAAATTCAATCTATCAATCAGAGGAAGTTTTTTGAAGGAGGAACCTCAAATCTTGGCCTTCACTGCTACTAAGAAGCCATCCACATAGAGAAGGACTGAGGAAGATGGAGACAGGGAGGAAGGGAGAGAGTTTGTGGAGAGCATTTCTGTCAGAGAGAAACAGAAAATGTGAAGAGCAAAATACCTCATTAGACCTGAGAGATATGTTCCAAAAAGCCATTGGGAGTGTGGCTCTTCAGTGATGCTCAAGGGGTTGGAGGTAGGGGAGAAACAGACTCTCAGAACATGGAAAAGAAAATTTTGGAAAGCCTCCAAGAAATTGTGAGATGACAATCCTCCAAAATGGATGGTCCCTCACTACCTCTACCATTCTCCCACAGTTTTATTTGGTTAGGTAGACTTTATATGGAAAATCCAATACTAATTGTTATAGCATAATAACAAAATGTTAACTATGATAAACATCCTGGCCGGCAAAGAAGAGTGGTTATAAGCATGGACCATGGAGCCAGACTTCCTGGGCTCAAATTATAGTTTTATTACTTTCTAGCTATGTCACCATAGATAAGTCACTTAGCTCATGTATCTCAGCTTCTTCAACTGTAAAATGAGGGAAATAATGGTACCCACCTCAAAGGTTTGTTGTCGAGGTTAAAGTACATATTTAGTTTTTAGACCTGACTCATGGTAGTAAGCACTGTATAAGAGCTACCTAGGTAACAATGATGGTGAAAATGATTGGAAAGGAAAATATCTGAGGTTAACACCATATTCTTATAGTCATGAGTTATGATGGACTAACCAGGATATATAAATGTCCACACATCTTATTGAGGAATGATTTATCTTATTTATGGTTATATACAGGGTCTCCACTCTTGCTGCAAGGACAACAATATAATGTATCAATCTTTGGCAATATCTTAAATTATGCATTTAATTTAAAATATTTTTTTTCCTTGCTGTCTGATATGTTTGATACAGGCAAGCCTACCACAGATAAGGGTTTTAATACGTTCTGTGACTGAATTTTTTTGGATTTTGCCTAAAGAATGTGGTAGGAGACTCGAATCTTTAATTGAGGCAACCATATTTAGTGTCACTGAAATAAGTGTGATAACAGCTTGGTCGTGCAAAGTTTGACATGAAGAAAACACCTGCCTGGTGATAATAGGATACATGAATTTCAGACAACAGAAAACCAAAGAAAATTACCACTCTGCCTGCCTTGATCAAATAACAACAGATTTTTCTGTTCATTTCACTATATTCAAAAGTTTATTTGGATTACTATGAAATGTTAACAGAAAATCACTTGTATTATGGGCTCATGGCAGGTGAGGAGTTTTAACATATTTCTAAGCTTTTATATTTACTAGCAGACTTACTAAGGCAAGGTAAAGGAAAAGAAGAAATACCTGTCTTGTTCTGGATAGTCATATGACAAACCACAGTGATTTGAGAAGGAATTTCAAGTTAATAGGCCTGGGTATATCAGATATTAACTTAAATGTATGTACATACCTTTTCTTTCAAGGTTCAGAGCCCCCAGAAGGTTGAACGTCTCTATCAACTGCCATTTTTTTATGTCTGAGTGAAAATCTTTTGAAAAATAAAAAAATATATATATTACAAACAAAACTGAAAAACTGTGGCTTCTTTTCCCTGTGAGCATAAGAACAGGTTGAGAGTATCATTAAGCAAAAAAGATATTTCTTGTTTTGATGTCAAATTAACAAGATTTGTAAAACTCCCATATCATAGGCTCTGAACTTAGGGATCCCACTATAGTCTGTGTTTTCTGTTTGCTTATTTGTTGGCTTAACATGTATAGAGTAAACCCTCTTGTTAGACTGCTTTCTATTTCTAATGGACATGTTTGCACATAATTTGAGAAGCAACATTTTGGCTTGTTTCCTTCTTACATTGCTTTTGTTTCTGTTTTTTACTTAAACAATATCCTACCATTTATACCAAGAAGTACTTAATATTGATATGGAGTCAATATTAGGTTAACTATAATGAATTGCTCCAAAGAAAATACAGATAACTGAAATCTGTGATACTACAAAAATTTAATTTGGTCCTCTACACTCAAATTTACATTGCATTAAATTATTAGCCAGAACTTCTAGCTAATAAACCAGTTGAGGATTGTTTAATTTTCATTTTTTTGACCATTCCAAAGATTCATATAACTTAAAGCACATGAATAATGCTTTACAGTTGACAAGGACTTTTATACGTGTCATCACTTTTGATCTTCCCAATATCCTTATGACATTATAGAATTATGGAAGATTTTATTATTGGCTTCACTTTCCAGATTAATAAATTGGTGATCAAGCATCATGCTTTTAAGTAAATGAATGTAATTGGCCTCAGAAAAGTTAAGTCTTGAATTTTAAACTTTATTGAACTTACTGAATTTCACTGAGAAAATGTCCAACCTTCTTCCCCACGATAATCCCTCTAGTCATCCCTGTGTCTTTATGGCTTCCAACCTTTGAAATTTTGTCTTCACTTTTCTCACTCTCTGGAATGTCATTGTTTTTCTTGAATATCCAAATATTGCAGCCATCGCTCAAGGTCCAGCAAAAGTTTGACCTGCTATAAGAAGTCTTCCAGAGCCCACCATTCTTACTTAAAGAATACAGCATTTGCAGAGATTGGTTCTTATGTTCTTAAGTGTTTTACTTACATTCAGCTAAACTCTTCTACTCTATTATAAGCTTCTAAGAACAGAGACCAACTCGTACTTCTTTGAAACTCACAGCACTCTATCACTGAATACACATGTAGTAAATTAATCATAAATATTTGGCTATTATTCCTTATTGCCCAATGAAGTCATTGTTGAATCATAGATCATCCTACTATATCTGCATTACAGCAATGTAACTTGTAATTTAGTTTGTATAATCACCTATTATAGTTGAGGTCAGGGTCATTTCAATATGTTCATATACCAATTGACCCATGCATTGATTTCTAATGGTAGTGAAGCTCAGACATATGGCCTACAGGGTCAAATTCACTACTCTGCCTGATGGATTCCCTGAATAGAGAGGCATTTGGCCCATATATCAGTACTAAGAACAGGAACAGGAAATGTTATGCAGTGATTGATTTTCTATAGAATTAAATTAGCATCACCCATTCTGCTAGTCATAATTTTTCTAGAGATCAGGGAGAACTATCAATGGTAGTTCCTGTCCTACACCATAGGAAAATGCATTCCATTATTCATCATAAATGATGCTGATCAAGTATATTGTCATTACAAATTTAATTTATAAGAAAGAAATCTCCATGTGGAAATGACACCCTTGACAGTCATTATGTTAAAAAACAAAAAGATGCTATCATGTGACAAATTCAATTCTTCCGGAATGTAGGTGTTCTGTTTAAACAAACAACTGCTTTTGTTCTTATTTTAAGGAGAATTTGGAGAAGTCTGTAGTGGACGTTTGAAGACACCAGGGAAAAGAGAGATCCCCGTTGCCATTAAAACTTTGAAAGGTGGCCACATGGATCGACAAAGAAGAGATTTTCTAAGAGAAGCTAGTATCATGGGTCAGTTTGACCACCCAAATATCATTCGACTAGAAGGTGTTGTGACAAAAAGTAAGTACTGATTTTCTTCATGACTTCTTTTATATATTTCTATCTCAGTTCCTTAAAAAACAAACAAACAAACAAAAGCTTAATAGCAATACCACAGCCATTAAGGGGATAGTTTAATTTCTGATATCATCCCTCAGAGCCTTGATATTTGGCTATGACATTATCAGAGTTTGCACTGGTCACCAAACAGCTTTGAAATGGTATTTATTACCTATAAATCATTTGTTATTTTAACTTGAAGTAATGAATCAAAGGTAAAGTATTATATATTTTTTCTAATCTCTATAATCTATTCACTTCTTCTAAAGCTGCTAAAATTTTAATATGAGTAGAAGAAACACTGAGTATTTTGGGTCATTAAAGTAAAATATTTCTGTTTAGAAAAAAATCTCATATGCAAATATAGAGGTTTTATCTGAAGTAAGACTTTTAAACATGGAACCCATCTACAGAAATGCCATTAGAATTAAATTATTATAATTTATATAAAATGGATATAAGAATTGCAACTTTGAGAAAAAAATCCCGTTTTTATAGAAATAGTGGGATCAAAGCCATTCCTTTGAAGTTTCTTCAAAATACAAAATTAATCTTATACTCTAAGAAATAGATTGCTATATAATCACTTTTATTTGAATAATGATAGGACACAAACCTTAACTACATTTCTCCTTATTTTATTCACTAATGAACTATAACATATAAAAACCTAACAGAGAATGGCATTGAAAAAACTCATAAAAAATAATCTTTGAGACACATTTTTTTCAGAAAACCAAAATTTCTTTTAAAACCATTTATACAAAATTGAAATTTCATGTCATATTTGAAAGCAGGAAAATATAAAAACTCATGAAAAACATTAATTGGCTATGTCCTCCTAAGTCTTTCTCACAAGGCACTGACCAACATTTGGACCAAGGGGAACAGAAGAGTATCAACAGCCTCCATAGTCTGAAAGACACAAAAGAGTGCTTTTTTTTTCTTTTTATGGTTATCCATTTTTTTAAGTTTTTATTTAAATTCCAGTTAACATATAGTGTAATATTAGTTTCAGAAGTAGAATTTTGTAATTCATCACTTACATATAACACCGAGTGTTCATCACAAGTGCCCTCCTTAATGCCCATCCCCCATCTAGCCCATCCCCCACCCACCTCCCTCCAGCAACCCTCAGTTTGTTCTCTATAGTTAAGAGCCTCCCTCTCTCTTGATGACAGCTGTTGGACTGGTCTGTTATTTTAGTGACTTTAATGGTGCCTGCCAGCATTTATGTACTTCTGTTGTTCTCTCTATTGATTCTGGGCTTGTCCATGTGACTGGCCTTGGCTAATGGGACATTAACACATGTGATGAAAGTGGAAGCATCTTACATGTCTGCACTTTGGAGCCTGTCCTCTTGCAACACTCCTTCTTGTAACCCAGCCTCCAGTTCTGAGCAAAGCCAGTCCATATGCTGAGGCTTCAAGCAGTATTGCAGAGAGGAGAAAAGCAAGACTGTCTAGTCAACAGCTCTGTTTGCACCCACTGCAGACTGCCTGAATGCCAGGCTTGAGATAAACCATCTCAGACATTGCAACCTCTCCCCACTAACACCACCACCACCCACAGATGGCTGTAGTTGCTGTTGAGATCTTGTAGAGCAAAGGAACTGCCCAGCTCAATCCAGTGAAAGCATAAAATTGTGAAAGAGGCTAAAATGACTGTTGTTTTAAGCCACAAAGTTTTAAAAGTTAGAAGTCTACTCTTGCCACTTAAGACTTGTGCAGCTTTAAATTATTTGCCATCTTTAGCCTTTACTTCCACATCTATAAAGATAGGGCCAAAATAGTTCCTACTCCATAGGAAATACTGTAAGGATTAAATTTGTAAATGTAGGGGTGCCTGAGTGGCTCAGTGAGTTAAGCCTCTGCCTTCGACTCAGGTCATGATCACAGGGTCCTGGGATCAAACCCTGCATCGGGTGCTCTGCTCAACAGGGAGCCTGCTTCCCCCCTTTCTCTGCCTGCCTCTTTGCCTACTTGTGATCTCTCTCTCTGTGTCAAATAAATAAATAAAATCTTTAAAATAAATAAATAATAAATAAATAAATTTGTAAATGTAAACAGCATTTAGCATAGGATGTATTATAATAAACCACATTAAATGGTAGCCATCACTGGTGTTATGTGCCAGGCACTTTATACATATAGTTTACCATTTCATTTTCACAGCAACTACTGTGAGTATCATTATCCACTGAAGCTCTGACTAATTAACCTGTAGAAAGACCTCTAACCCATAATAAGTAGCATGGCAGGTATTCACGCTGTAGTCTTTTTGACTCTGAAACCCATAGGGTGTGTGTATGTGTGTGTTATGTGTGTGTACATGCGTATGTGTTGGGTTTTTTTTCTATATCTACAGTGAATGAACCAGTTTTATACTTTAATTATCTTATCTGAATTAAATAACATTAAGTAAATGACAATCTGAATAAAATGATATAGTACTAGTTTTTAAAATCAAATATTTAGGTTAGTGAAATAAATTACTTCTAAAATGTAAAATTTGGAAAGATCCAGCTATACCACAATAGCTAGCAAAGACTATAATCTAAAAAAGACAGAAAGAGAGAGAAGAAATAGCATGTTAATTATTTTGTTTGTATTTTCTGACTTCCTTGTCATTAATTTAGCATGAACTTTTCAAGTCATTCCTTCCATCTTATATCTCTTTGGAAGGAAAAATACAATTTTAAAGTTGGCTTCTACATCTTTGCATATCTGTAAGGCATTTCAAATAACAATTTAAATATAATATTGAAGTCTTCTTATGTGTATTTTTGCATGTAATATCTGGAAAGAAGTGTCAAACAATATATTTAGAGATTGAAAAGTATTGGACCTTTACTTTCTCCGTTTTTATAAATAATATTATATGACTTTGTCATATAGTCCTATGTATTTTATTCACATATTGTCATATATTTTATATGCATATATTAGCATAAAAGTATATAAAAAGGAAAAAGATTTATAGTCCCATGAAGTAGTAAGATTTAGTTATCCTAAATCAGCTGAATGGGTTTAATGAGATAGTCTATGGCACCCGTCTGCCAGTTTGAAATTCTCAATTTATTTCACATAAACATGCAAACAACTAACACAGTGACTGTTTGACATTTCTGACAATCTTGTCTTAAAAATGGGAACAGTGACCTCTACAAAGTCAGATTTTTATGCTCCCTAAGTCAAGGTCTTTTTTCTATTTCAAGAAAAAGAAAGAAGTGAGGGAAGCCGGGAAGGAAGGGAAAAAAAGAATAATTAAGAAAGGACAGGCTTAATATGCTTTTGAGTGGCAACCATCATTACAGTTTTAATTTGTACAAGTGAGCCCCATATAAGGGTGTTGTGCTGCTGCTGAGGTGGGTGGGGGAGATGGAGAAAGGAGTAATTCACACAAAGATAAGTGGGCATATTTATACTGTTATCTTCTTGACTCCAGTGCTATGAGATTTTTAAGAGAAGGCAATAAATAAATGAATGCCTCATTCCCATAAATACATGGTAATTGTTCCAAGATTGGCCTTAAGTAGCTAAAAGATAGCTAGCAATTAATGCTCCCTAAGGACTACCATATTGCATAAAAGATAATACTGACAAAGATAAAGATGCAGGATAGGTTTATGTAGTCACTTTAGTAGAGTATCCTGGGCTTCTGTGAAGTAAGCACACAGATTCTCAGTTGAAAGTAATGCAAAATTATAGATCAAAATCTTATCAGATCCTTTTATAAATTCTTAATATGCATACTTTTTATCTTATGTATGCTTTTTTTCTCTGAGAGATACCTATTATAATATTCTTGGGAATGCTTTTGTTCTTTCATATTTGGTCATATAGCTATCTTTATTTTAAACTTTAAAGTTAAATGATGAAAAGCTGCATTATAGCAAAAGTATGTGTGATAAAAGTTGAACATATTTATTTGATACACATCACAATTACATTAACCTGTTAAGATAAAACTGGTATAAAAAGGGATTAATCAAGCTAAACCATGTGTTTAGCACATACTTTTTCTCCAAGAAGCAAATAGAAGCCATTAGTTAGAGAACAGACTTGTAGCCATTAGTAGCATGGATAGTAGCAATTTGTAACTAGTAAGGTATACACCAGTGTCATTAATTACATAGCCCCAAAGAGAAAAAGTTACTCTTCTATAAAAAGATAAGAACTATAGTTAGATAATGAAGCAATACTGTGCTATAACCACATTCCAGAAGACCAGGCCCAGCAGTTTGAATACCCATGATGGAAGGAAGAAACAAGAGAGAACTAATGAAGTTCCCCTCTTCCAGCTTAGTAGCTGATAATTAAATTTAGATAGAACAACTACATCTCTAACAAATCATAGATCTAGAAAGGAGTAGTAGAAGCCAATCAGAATAGCAAACAAATTCCCAAACATAACTTCATTTCATTGTTGGACGTCCCTAACAACTACAACAGAAAGCACTGGGCCTGCCCAAACCCTCTTTAAATAATCCAGAATATTGTGGGTTCCTTCCAGACAGTTTTGGTGAGTCTGCACAGACTATAAGTCAGAGAGCAGATTCCAGCCAGTCAAGTACATTGTACAGTAAATACAGAAGAACTCTCTCTCTGGTCCCAGAAGTACATTCTACTTGTCAAGTAATATTGTCTAAGTTTTTAACTATTATGATACCTGTTTCCCCACCATGTTGTGTATCCTACTGCCTGTTACAGAGTCTCAGACAAGTCACTCAATGTCTTTAAGCCTCAATTTTTTTCCTCCATGCAAAAAGATTAAAATATGAAGGTTGGACTAGAAAACAACGAAGGTCACATCTAGCCCTAATATTTTGGATTCCATTCCTTTGCCAAAGGAAGAGGAATGTCACGAGATGTTGGTGAAAAGAATTTGTACCATGATAACTTATCACCCCACTTCCAAGTTGTTGTTTGTGTGTTTTTTTTAATAACTTCAGGTTTGTA